TTAATTTTTAAGTGTTTCAAATAAAGGAGGCTTGGTGGCACACTGGTTAAACACTGGGCTGTTAACTAAACCTACTCAGTGACTCAGTGGGAAAACAACTTGGCGATCTACTCCTATAAATATGACAGCCTAGAAAACCCTATAGGACAGTTCTACTTTGTCACATCACATCAACTCACCAACACCGAACAACAATAATAACAGAATACATAACATTTTCAAAAATTAATAAAATAAGATATTTCAAAAACCATAATTTGTACATGTATTAAGAAACAACCAAAAATGTGTATTTAAACAAATGTAAATTTTTTAAAAATGTATTTTATCACTGTACTATAAATTAAGGAGGACTCGACAGCATTTCACAACAACAACAACAGCTCGTGTAGTTGTTCCGCGGGAGAAAGATGAGGCTTTCTGCTCCTGTAAAGATTTACAGCCTCAGAAACCCTGTACAGGGTCGCTGTGAGTGGGAACCGACTCCACGGCACATAACCACCACCACCACCAGTAGTATAGTAGATTACAAGTTGGGCGAAGGCAGCAGTTCAAATCTACCAGCTGCTCTGTGGGAGAAAGATGAGACTTGTCTGCTCCTATAATGAGTTACAGCTTTGGAAACCTTATACAGAGTCACTATGAGTTTGGACCAATTTGATGGCACACAACCACCACCACCACTGTATATTGTTATTAAAATTAAGTAAAATAATTATTTAAAAATAACTAAGCTAAGTAGTTCATTAAAATGAAAGAAAAAAAATTGTGAAACATTGAAAAATGAAATCTTATTTGCTCTTTCTTTTCTTTTTTCGTCTTAAAAAAGGAGCAAACGTAAACACAAAGGGTGATTATGGTATCATTATTGAGTAACGGAAATATTTCTGGGCAGATTTTTCCAGTGGCTGGACGGCAGTTTCTGGCTCTGTGACATCGGTCGGGGAAACAGTAAGGAAATGATTAGTAGTGAAATCCAAAAATTTTCCACTGAGTGTCTTCATCCTTAAATATCCTTCTCCTTTTTGATAATTATGAAGGTGATTTTTGGGTCAACCTTTTGTTTCTTGATAAGAACTGTAAGCTTTTTCTTGAAAGCAGCAGGAGTTTGTGTTTCAGTAAAGCGTTTCCATTCGTCTATGTCCTCATGAGCCTAGGGCTAGAGTTTGGTGGCATTTACCTGTCTCAATCTCGGTGCTTACCTGTTCACATTTAACTGGCTCAGAAAGTCGTTGAATAAACTTTTTAGTCTATATTTTTTTCTTCCATTATTTTCTAATTCTATTACCATGGTGGTGGTACTATAATGGAAAGCTTTGGAAAATATTCCACCTTTTCTTTTGTGTGGCTTAGATGTATAACCGTATGTTGTGAAGTGCTACTGAGCCGGTTCCGACTCATAACGACCTTGTATAGGATTTTTGAGGACCAGCTGGTGGGTTTGAACCACCAATCATGTGGTTCATAGTCCAGTACTTATCCTACAGTGCCACACCAGGACTCCTAGATACAGAATATAGATATTCCCTGATGGTTTGGTAAAACTTACTTATAAAATAATATGGGAATGTTGTTTTATTTTATTTATATACTTGCCGTTTTTCATATTCTTTTATCATAGCTTGTATATTCATTTTGTTCCAATTTTGTAATGCTTAATGATTAAATCTTTCCTTTATGTTTTCTTTTTAAGAAACCAAAACAAACAAACATAAACGTAAGTCTTTGAGTAGGGCTGCGGTTGTTGTGTGCCGTTGAATGGATTCCCAGTCTTAACAACCTCATAGGACAAAGTAGTGCTAACTATTCCATAGGGTTTCCTAGGAAGGAGCTCTGGTTGCGTAGTGGCTACGAGTCAGGCTGCTAACCTCAAGGTCAGCAGTTTGGAGCTCTATTAGCTGTTCTGTGGAAGAAAGATAAAGCTTTCTGCTCCTGTGAAGATTTACAACCTCTGAAATGTTATGGGTTGCTATAAGTTGGAACTAACTCCACAGCACATAATAACCAACCAGTCTTTATGGGAACAGATTGTACGGTCTTTTCTCATATAGAGTGGCTGCTGGGTTCAAACCACTGACGTTTCAGTTAGCAGTCAAGTACGTAACCATTGTTCCATCAGGGTTCCTTTCGAGTAGATAAAAACCAAACCTGCTACCATCAAGTCAGTTCTGATTCACAGCGAGTCTGTGGGGCAGAGTAGAACTATCCCGTGGGTTTCTACAGTTTTATGGAAGCCAACTGCCACATGTGTCTCCATTGAAGCAGCTGGTGGGGTGGAGCGGAGCTACTGGTGGATGAGTTCCTAACAGTGCCCCACCAGGGCTCCTGTTTTAGTAGGTCAGGGGTCCTTTTTTCAATAGAAGCTTTGATTTGTAGATTGCTGTGTTCTTTTTCCTCTTAGGAATAAGGAGGTATAGAAAAATGTGGCAGGATAGTGGTTAAAAATAGAGTTCAACAGATCCACACTTACTTGCTGTGTGATCATGGGCACATGACTTCACCTCTCTGTGCTTTGGTTTTCTCATCTGTGAACGTAATAATAGTATAGCATCTACCTCATAGGGTTATTATGAGGATTTAAATGAGTTAATGAGTTAGTTGTTGTTAAGTGCTGTCAAGTGGGTTGTGACTCATAGAGATCCTGTATAGGGTAACCGAGTGACTGGTGGGTTGAGTGATGATCTTACAGCACCACACCAGGACTCCAAGCCCTTGGTAACCACGCTGTCTAAGTATTAGGAAAGTGATGATAAAGGAGCTCTGATAGCACAGAGGTTAAATGGTCAGCTGCCGAAACGTTGCAGGATTGAACTCATCAGTACCACATGGGAGAAGACGTGGCAGTGTGATTCCATGAAGATTACAGCCTTCCGGGGCACTTCTGTTCTGTTCTGTAGGGTCACTACTTGTCAGAATTGACTCTACAACTGCAAGTTTGGTTCTTTGATGATGATGAAGAAGAAAGCATTCTAAATACATACACCATTGTATTAGAATCCTAGTGCTGCCATAACAAAACACCACAAATTGGGAGACTTATAAGAATGGAAACTTACTGTTTCTAAGTTCTGGAGGCTAGAGGCCATGCTATCCCTGAGTGTCTAGGGGAGAGTCCCTTCTTGTCTCTTCCAGGGTCACACAGCCATCTTCTCTCTGTCAGTCTCAGTGTCTCTTCTCCTTTTCATAAGGGTGGGATTAGGACCCACCCTACTCCAGTAGTACCTCATGCTGCCTGACAACATCTTTAAAGATCCTATTTCTAGTCACATTCATAGGTACCAGGGGTTCTGACTTCAGTGTCATCTTTTTGAGGGACACAGTTCAACCCACATCAATCACTGATCAATTAAAAATGTTCAGTGCTTTGGTACCTCTCAAGACATAAGTGATTTCAATTTCGCGTTCTTATAAAACATCAAAATAATAGTTTGGATCAACAAAAATATAGGTATGTCAGTACTTTAAAATAGTAAGGCAAAGACCTAAGTTTAAAACCTAGAACTATAAAGATCATCAATGAAAAAAACCAGGGACAAATTTAGGGACTCTGATACACGGCATAACCATACTATCAAACAGAACAGAAAACACACAAACAGCAGAAGACAAAATAAATGACTGGCACCTCCTAAAATTAGACACTTATGTGCATCAAAAGATTTCATCAGAAAAGTTCAAAGAGAACCTGTAGACTGGGAGAAATGTTTGCAATGACATATGAGACAAGGGACTATTGTCTAAAATTTATGGGCACTTCAGCATCTCAACAAGAAGACAAATAATCCATTTTAAAAATGGGCAAAGGACATGAACAGATACTTCACCAAAGAAGACATTCTGGCTACCAACAAACATGAAATGCTCACACTCAGTAGCCATTGTTGGTTGTTGTTGGTATGTGCTATGGAGTCGGTTCCAACTCATAGTGACCCTGTACAGGGTTTCCAAGACTATAAATCTTTGCAGGAGCAGAAAGCCTTATCTCTCTTCCACAGAGAGACTGGTGGCTCGAATGGCCAACCTTGTGGTTCACAGTTTAGTGCTTACCCTATAGAGCCACCACACACCCCTCTTTTTCATATATTGGAAGGGAAAAAAGTGCATACTTATTTTCTGATTCGGACAAACCCAATTGGGAACTTCCCTGCAAATAAAAAAGGGAAAGGAAAGTAGGGGGAAAAAGAAAAGCAGAAGAAAGGAGAGAAAAAAAGATTTGGAAATCGATAGTAGTGATGGTTGTACAACATGGGGAGTGTGGTTGCTGGATTGTGCCTGTAAAGATGGTTGAAATGGCAAAACAATACTGAAGGCTGGCAGAGTACATGTGAATGCCTTAGAGTTGGCTGGAAGGAGAGTTGCCACCCAGAGACAGCCTGAAAGGGGGGAGAGGTGATAAGGGAGGGGTTATTAGCTCAACAATGCTGCACCCAACTACCACCATCGAGTCGATTCTGACTCATGACACATATAGGAAAGGCATAGGGTATTCTCTAAGTAGTGCTCACAGACCCCAGAAAGTATACAGCGATTGTAGCCTTGATTGATCATTGGATGAAGTTTAGGATCATTCCACTTTCTCTCTCTTTGGATTTACGGACACAAATCTCATTCATTCATTCATCAAATATGTGAGGATGATGAAATTTCATCTCACTTTTGGACATGTTATCAGGAATGATCATTCCCTGGAGAAGGACATCATGCTTGGTAAAGTTGAGAGTCAGTGAGTTGGATTGACACAGTGGCTGCAACCAAGGGCTCAAACATACCCATTGTGAGGATGTTGCAGGAGCGGGAAGTGTTTTGCTCTGTTGTACATGGGGTTGCTGTGATTCAGAGTCAAATCAGTGGCACTTAACAACTGGGGTGGTGGACTGGACAAGTTGGGCAGGGAAGAGTGTCTGTGGCTGCACTGAGAGCTGATAGTGAACATCACAACAGATCTGGGGGGCAAAACATGGGTGACCATTTGTGTGTGTCTCTCCCCTACCCCAACTCAGGCACTGTCAGAGCTGGATTTGACACTTCAGGTGTCCGAGCAAAACGGCATCCAGCCCCGAGAAGTGCTCTTGATCCTCTATCCAAACAAGAATGTCTTCCTTCAGCTGCAAGCCCCAGGAATCCCCCTTCACCTGGTCTACGTGAGTATATGACCTCCTATCCCAGGCTGAGGTGTGAGAGGCCCCTGCTGGCCATCTCTGTGTGTCTCCTACCCTCAGGGTCTCTAGTTCTCCTTTTCACTCTGTCATTATCCACTAGGACTCTGCAGAAAGAACCCAAAGGGCAACAGGACCCAGAGTAAACAGTCTAGATTAGGATGTGGTAATCAGGTGGATGTGCAATTCTGCGCAATTCTCATGCCTCAATTTACCCTTCTGTGCAGTGGCAGAAGCGGAGTCTATGACATTCCTGAAAATCATCTTGTCACTGTCTTGGAAAAAGCTGCAAGACTTAATACAGTATTTGGAAATATTTAAGTACATAGGGAAACAACCAGGAAGAAGTTTATAGCTGGGAAGTGGGTAAAGAAAGACTTATTTTGTTCTTTACACTTTGTTGAATTTGCAAGATTTGCTCTAATGAATGTGGCTTACATTGGAGAAAAATCATTAAAAAAGAAAATCCATCAGAGAAGAGGTCAGCTGGCTGGGACCACAGAGGCTCAGGGCTGAAGGAAGCAAGTGGATTGTTCCTCCTCCTCCGTATGGAAAGCCCTGGGAGGTACCTCCTCTGCTGGCACAGCTCCCTCCTTTTCACATCTCCCAGATGTGAAAAGCTGTTTACAGCAAGAGAAAGCACAGAACCAGAGAGAAGGGCAGAAGAACAATAAAGACAAAAAGAAAAGACACAGAAAGAACTATGGAAAATGAAAGAGGGAGAAGGACAAACAGACACACCAAGAATGTAGCTCAGATCAGAGAGACCCGTAGAGACAGAGACTGGGAGATGAATGGGACATGCAGGCAGACCCATGACCTGGGCGGACAAGGAGACAAGTCCAATGACAGATGAAGAGAAAGCAATAGGGGATGAACCCAGACTGAAACAGCACAAAGACAGACTGACAGATATGGCAGAGCCAGCACGGAAAGTCCCCATTAGGGAGGCAGTGGGCCGAGGGCCAAGCTAGACAGACCCCTGGCAGTTAATGCGGAGGCCCCCAAAAGGGAAATCTAGACCTTAGGAAGGGCGGGGCCTTGCTATGGCGCCTTATCTTCCTTGAGCCTCTTCCCCACTCCCCTTCCCTGGTCCTCAGCAGCCCAGGCTGGGGAACCTGGATGACGCAGAGAACATGAATCTCTCGTACTGGACCGGAAGTTTGCAGCAGCTGCTGGCTCTGGCATCCGCTCAGGCTCCCGCTTTGGTTCCCGCTGTGGCTCTGGCTCCAGTTGCACCTTCCTCCCCTGTCAAGAATATCCGGGGGGCGGGATGGTAGGGAGGGGAGCGTCAGAGTTGCGCATAAGGCGCCTTGCAGCTTCCTGAGTCGCCTGGAGACTGGCTGGAGGGGCAGGCAAACAGGGAGGTGGGTCCCGGTTTTCGGCAGCCACAGCCCAGCTTTGGGCACGGAGGCCCTTGATCGATCGGTACCAGGCTGTTGACAAACGTCATATTCATAAACCCTTTTATATCTCCATTCTACAGAAGGTACTTGAAACAGAAATGGGTGGAGAGCTCCTCTCAGGGTCCCCCACAAGCCTCAACTCTGAATCTTCCACTCAACTTTTCCCACCATAAAATGCTCATCACTTTACACCCTTGTTCAATTTCTCAAAGAAAGTGGAGTGCTCCATTCTATGGTGTCTTACATACGATCACTGTCAGGCAGTGCTTAGTACCCAAGTCGGAAGCCTTTTGCTGCTTCAGTTTGATGTCTCTGACTTGCGAGATAGAACACTAAGCATCCAGATCCTGAGTCAGTGCCCCACCAGCTTCCAATTAATCGTCCAGGCTCTTTCAATCACCTCTTCCAGGAAGCTTTCCCAGTTTTCTTCTCTCAGCCCACCAGGATTTCACCTGATGGGCAGTGAGGTGCCAGAACTTCCCAGATTCTCCATCCTTGGACCTGTGTTGCTCCTTCCTTTCTTATTAAACAATATACTCTGCCTTCTGTTGTTTTAAATAATTTAATACATATCTAGTATTGATCTCTGATTCATTCATGCATTCATCTATTTCTTCTTTCCTTTCTCCCTTCCTTTGTGCATGTGCCAGGTATGTGTATGAAGCTGACATGTCAGGATCTTCACACTGGGCCCTGAGCACAGACAACTATTTCTCAGTGCCTACTAAGGAACTCTGGTAGCATTGTGGTTACAAATCAGGCTGTTAACCTCACGGTCAGCAGTTTGAAACTACCAGCTGTTCCACTGGAGAAGGATGAGAATTTCTGCTCCTGTAAAGATTTACAGCCTCGGAAACCCTGTACAGGATCGCTATGAGTCGGAACCGACTCCATGGCACATAACAACAACAACAGCTATATGCCAAGCACTGTGCAGTAATGTGCAAAGCAGATGTTCCTCACAGACCCTCAGAGTGTAGGGGAGATGGACATTAGCAATGTCATATCAGTTTAATGTGGATTGAATGTATATGACTGGAGGGTAGGTGGGTAGATAGATGTCCATTCAGACTCCCAGGAAGGTGTGGAAGGGATATGGAGCCACCCATGACATGGGTGGGGAGGGCTGTGTGGGGTCTCTGGGCTGACTACAAACAAGTCTATCAGCTTCAACATCCTTCAACATCCTCAACCTCTTCTTAACTCATCACGCTGCCTCTCCCAAATCACCTCCTGAGACTCAGACCTGGGAACAGCATCTGAGCCTCCTCATGTCTCCCCAGAATCCCAGCCTGGTCACACTCAAAGAGTCCCTGGGAATCAACACTACACAGCTGCCATCCTTCACCAAGAGTCAGCTCCTTAACTGGGCAGCTACAAAGGGTGCGATCGTCTCTGTTGCTGAGTTGAATGACCCCAGCTTCATCCTCCTCCGTCTGAGCCAAGGTCAGCTTCCTGGCAGCTTCTGGGATCTGGAGTAATCTGAACTCCTCTGGTCCATTCATCAGCTGTGGACATTAAGACTCCAAGAGTGGACATGATTTGCCCCAGGTCACACAGTAATTATTCCTTCACCACGTATTAGATTGAACCATGTGAAATTGCTATTTGACAGTTTTTTTTTAAATCTACAAAAACAGCACTTTTGTGTTATTTGAGCACTGGTGACATAGTGAGTTATGTGTTGCTAACCACAGGTCAGCAGTTCTAATCCACCAGCTGTCCTCTGGAGAAAGATGAGTCTTTATGCTCTGGTAAAGATTTACAGCCTCAGAAACTCTATACAGGGTAGTTATGGGTCAGAACTGACTGACTGGCATACAACCAACACCACCAATATGTGCTAGGCACTTGGGGACACAGACTTTGCCCTAGCGTTGACACTGTATAGGAGTGGTGGTGGTGGTGTTATTAAGAGCCATCAAGAAAGTTCCGACTCATAGCTGCCCTGTATAGGATTTCTGAGGAGCGGCTGGTGAGTTTGAACTGCCGACCTTGCCTCCAGTGCATTATCCTAAGAGTGCCACACCAGGACTCTAGAGGTGTAGATGACAATGAACATGATGAACACAAATTCTGTAATTTCCGGTCAATGTAAAAGCTATAAGAAAGATAAAAAATGGGGTGATGTGCTGTTGGTTGGGGAACTGCAGCCCTAACATGTGTCATGCATGCTTTTATTCCCTTACATTAACCCTGTGTTGACAGATGAGGAAACAGTTTCCTGGATTTGTCAGGGTTGAACCTAGGTTCTTTTATGTCTTCCCCCCTTTGGCTGCAGGTGGGGTGGGGCTCTGTGTTCACAGCCTGGCTGCTTTGGGAGGGGATTGACAAGGCTTGTCTCCGCAGCCCTGACATCACCGCCTTTGTGCCAGCCCAAGGAACACATGGACATGGGCCCCACGCTTGAGTGGCAGCCACGTACCCCGATTCAGGGCTGTCGCTTGGAAGGCATGGCCGGAAACAAGGAAGCTCACATCTTGAGGATACTGCCGGGCTCAGAGGACAGGTAAGGGCCCCGCCTCCATTAAGACCCCGCCCCATATCAGGCCCTACCCACACCCTAACCTCGGGCCCCCGCCCTCAATTTGATAAGAGCAACCTGGCCCTCACTTGTCTCTTAAGTCGGCTGGGTCTGTGGACCGCTACCCTAGTCACTCCGCCCAAGCCCCGCCCCGCCCCGCCCCCCCCCCCCCCCCCCCCCCCCCCCCCCCCCCCGCCCCGCCCCACCCTCTCTCTTAGGCTTGCACACAGCCAGGTTAAAGCACAGCCGCGACCCCATCGGTTGCCAGGCTGCATACTAGACCTACCCGACCAGTTCCCTTCAGGTCCCTCCTCACCCCGCATTCGCGCCTACACTGACTATCCGTTGGACCACAGGCCACGGACAGTGACAGTTAAGGTGGAGCTGAGCTGCGCACGAGAAGAACCCGCCCCCATCCTCATCCTGCAGGGCCCACCCAAAGTGTCCTGGCTCATCGACACCACCCACAACATGCAGATCTGGGTGAGTCTTGTCCCAAACAGCCACACACAGCGCCTGCCAAGGCTCCCCCAAAAAGCAAGCTCCCTACTTCCACCTGTAGGCCCTCCACCATTATACCAGGTCTTTTGTCCCAAGCCAGTTCACCTGATCATCTTCTGCCCTGAATGCGCTGTTGCTGTCTACCATCTATTCAACCTTCAGACCTTTGCCTAGATATCACCTACTCCAGGAAACCCTCCTCCCTGTTTCAAAGTC